AGCCCTGTCCAACTGACTGTGAACACTTCCAATGATGGGACATCCATAACTTCTCTAGGTCACCTGTTCCAGTGCTTCACCACCCTCATTGTAAAAAATTACTTCCTTCTATCCAATGTAAATCTATGACCTTTAAAGATCATCTAGTCCAACCCCCCTGCCATGTGCAGTGACATCTTCCACTAAATCAGGTTCCTCAAAGCCCTGTCCAACTGACTGTGAACACTTCCAATGATGGGACATCCATAACTTCTCTAGGTCACCTGTTCCAGTGCTTCACCACCCTCATTGTAAAAAATTACTTCCTTCTATCCAATGTAAATCTATGCTTTCAGTTTAAAACTGTTATCCCTGTCCGATCACTCCTCAAAGCCCTGTCCAACTGACTGTGAACACTTCCAATGATGGGACATCCATAACTTCTCTAGGTCACCTGTTCCAGTGCTTCACCACCCTCATTGTAAAAAATTACTTCCTTCTATCCAATGTAAATCTATGCTTTCAGTTTAAAACTGTTATCCCTTGTCCGATCACTACAGGCCTTGATAAAAAGTCTCTCTCTGTCTTTCTTGTAAGGCCCCTTTAAATATTGAAAGGCCGTAATAAGGTCTTCCCGGAGCTTGCTTTTCTCTAGGCTAAACAAACCCAACTATCTCATCCTTTCTTCACAGGAGGTGTTCCATCCCTCTGATCATTTTTTGGCCCTCCTAACCTCCTCTAACAGGTCCATGTCCTTCTTGTGCTGGGGATCCCATAGCTGGATGCAGTACTCCAGGTGGGCTCTCACAAGAGCAGAGCAGAGGGGAAAAAATCACCTCCTTCGAACTGCTGGCCATGCTTCTTTTTGCACAGACCAGGATACAACTGGCTTTCTGGCCTGCAAGCACACATTGCCGGCTCATGTCCAATTTTTCATCCACCAATATCCCCAAGTCCTTCTCTGCTGGACTGCTTTCAATCCATTCATCTCTCATCATCTTCAGAAGGTCTCCTGACAGATCTCATTTGCTTTGGAAGTGAATATTAAAGTGTTTTAATAACACGCCAAAAGTTTTTGCTTGTTAGAAATAAATAACAAGTAATTGTTGCATTCAAATAGTTACAAAATCCATACACATAGTGTATAACTCACTTTCAGTGCTTTACTAAGATGCTTTATTCAACAATAAAAGAAAACCTTAAGCAAAAATAAAAATCTGTCTACATATAGATGCCTATGATGTAAATAAATATGTGTATGTGTCTAGTGAGCCTGGCAAAGAAACATCCTTCACTCACAAAATGAATTTCAGGGGAAAATTTCCAGCTTATTTATGTCAGCTGTGTATGAACTTTGAGGATTGGTGAAATCCAGAGTCATGTGGTGTATTTGTTTAGAAAAGTGTCCTAAAACTAAAAGCAAACAAATATGTTCAAAAACCAAAAAAGAAAAGTCAATCCTGTAAGATTTTTTTTTAGAAAACATGTTTAGTCCCTGAGGGTTCAGATCCTGAGAAGCTCACCAAATCTAATTTGGGCTTGATCAAATCCTTAATTAGCAATTAAGCGAAGAGGCTTACGAGAACAATAATTCTATCATACATTTATAGTTCTATAGGCTAATGTATTTACACCAATATTCATCAGAACCAACAAAGTATTTAAGCATACTTCTAACTGGAGAAATTGTATTTTCCTAGTGTCTATAAGTTACCATGTAGCCTACTTGATTATTATGTATAACAAAGTTTATATATATACACACACACACACACTCTGAAGTTCATGTTCTCCTCTAATTATTTGTACAGATGAACAAATCTGACTCTTGGCACATATCCTTGTCATGTGCAAGAAAGAAGATTAAGCTGACAAAGATCCTTAGCTTAATCCTGGTATCTCTTCATTCAAACCCAAGGCACCCAATCCTAACACTTTCTACTGCAGTTTGCAGCTTAGAATCTGCTCATTGATACCTTTTACATCTCAGCAGTGTTAAAAAGTTCTGCTCTCCAGAATACAGTGCCCTCACTCCAGGAGTGGAATTGGTATGGCCAGAACGTTTTGTGGAAATATAGCTATAAGAGAGTAAATAATTGTTTTGAGTCCCCTGAAAACCATCTCCTCCTCCATGAGGAGATATAATGAGATATAAGACTATTGCTTGATAAGCTTCTTAAGCTGAACCTGAAGAATCCACTTACCCAGTTAGTTCAATTCTTATTTATATAACACAGAAAAAATGGGTAGTTTTATTAGGACTTTGTCTAGAATAAGGGATATCCAGTGTTTGATACTGTGTTGTTGAGAACTCTTTCACAAATAAATCTTTGTTCTCATCCAGGTTGCGTCAGTGCACATCTGTACCACACAACAGATGGTAATGGAAAAGTGATGTAAATGGTTCAATTTTACTGTCTGCTTTGTATGATTTAGCACTGTCCACAAAAGGTGCTGCCTACTTCTTCATGGCTGACGTTTTGGGGAAGCAATGAATTTTGCTTCTGCCTGCTTGTGTAAGGCACTGAAATGTATGTTGCTTGTTTTCTTCTTTGCCTCACATAGAGAACTTATAAATAGGTCTGATCAAAAAGATTTGTGACAGAAAAATGAGTTTTAATGTAAAGTTTGAATTGAATAGCTAATGCATTCTGCAGATTTCATTTTCCATAAAAGTCAGCAATTAATGAAAATAAAGAAATTGTAGGCTGATCATCATTTGAGACTGTGTTCACCAGTTTAAGAGGATGCTGTATGTAATGCTTTCCTCTTTTAAATGCTGCTTTGTTGACCATCATGGAAAACATATTTGTTGAAGAAAATAAATAACATATAGCTTACATTTCACAGGTTCTAAATTATAATCTGTTATGCTAAATAAGGCTTTACGTGTTTATGCTGTTGTGGTAGTCTAGTGAAAATCAACTCTTATACGATTATATTTTTCTTAACTTTCTTTTTCCCTATGATAGGGCTTAACACCTTATCAGGTCCTTATCATCTTATATTTTCATCAAAAAAAGCTTGATTAGATTTCTTCATAAGGTTGCAAGTAATGCTCACTCAGGCAAGTCAGAACAACTGTGAAAAAGCTTTTTTTACAGTATTACTCCTAACTCCCTCTTCTATACTTAAGATTCTAGGTAATCCATTTTAGTTGAAATAATAACAACAACAACAACAACAACAACAATAATTTTTAAAAAACAAGTTAATGAATATCCCTACTTGCAACAGTTTTTACTGAAGTAGCTGGATTCCCTAAAGGACAGCAATTTGCAAGCACTTCAGTGAGTGAAAAAGTTTAGTTTAGAGTCAAGTATTTTACAAATTATTTTGTCCCAGGAATAACTAAGTGAAATTAGTTATTTGATATGTAACATTGTAACTCAAGGAAAATATATCTTACTCTGCTAGAGGAAAATATATTCAGAGATCAGTTGCTTTTCTGTCGTCTCCTGTGGATCAAGGAGACTTTTGTTTTGTATATTTGTCTACATAGGTATGTTTAGTATATTCATATATATGCATAATACACATATATATAGATACATAGATACGGTCTTTTGCGGATGTTTACACTTGTGCTGAACAATATATGTTCAATTTACCACACTGAATATGAATTAAATTCATAAGATGTCCTAGATATTTTAAATTGCTAGAAAAAAGTTATGATTTGTTATGTATTTTAAAAATGCTAATACTTCTGGTGATGGAATTACTGCATTTCTTAGATGTCTAGAATTCAAGATAATTCTGTGGATTAATTTCTCTGTTTAGGGAATATCAATCTCCTACTGAAAACAAATAAACAAAAACATGCCAAGCACTCCCACGGTCTTTTCCTCACCCATCCATACTGCTGAGAAGAAGATGATCTCACAAAAGTCTGATGACACATGCACTTGGCTTTACATACACATGTAGGTCCATCAGATGTAATGGGTTTGCATTCATGCATGACATTAAAAACCTGCACAGAGCTTTGCAAGACTTAAACCTAAAAGATCTGTCCTTTAGCAGCATTGGTCTCACTGTTCTTAGTCTTCCCACCTGTGAGATTATACTATCTTTGGGATAGACTAGCACTCTCCATAGCCAAAATCAGCATCAAACATGATTATTACTTCTGAGAATCTCTCTTCTACCCTGTGACTAACTGTCTTGACACTGATCAGCTAATGGAAACTTCCCTCATTCTGTACCAGATTCTCTTCAACTATTTAAGGAGAATTGTTATCAAAGAAATGCTCTTCATCTTTGTAATACCTACAGCTGTGGAGATTATTCCTGTAATTAATGTGTCATTAAACCATTGAAAAACTTTAAATATGACTCCCAACAACTTTGGTTTCAATTATGTTTTAATACAGTTTTCCTAGCTTAAATTTACTCACTATCTCTGAGAGAAAAAACTACATGTTATTTCTAGTAATTCTGCTTGCAGTTCTATATATTACAGTATTTAATATGTTTGCCAAATGCTTCAAAAATATCAACTAATCCTGTAAGGATGGTAAGTATGTCTTTTTCATGAATGAGGAACTTGAACTGCCAACATGACAAGCAAAAGGTATGTGGTATGACAGTGGATTCATATCCACTAATATCAAATAACAATTCACTAGTTTCTAACTTGATACTCAACTGAAACTTTCACAAGTTTTTTAAATCTCTCTGCTCACAATTAAAAGCAGAAGTAATGACACTTTATAAACACTATGTTTTGTTGTATGTCCTTTATTACAGGAAAATAGATTGAACCTGTAACAATACAGTGCAAAAAACTTTTTCAGAACTTACTGAACAGTTTATTTTATCCTTTTAAGGTTTTAATTCACTTGTCTCCATCTAATTCTGAACCTCACAGAGTCTGTCAGCTTTGAAGCCTTGTTCATCTTCCTGCAACTGGATTTTTTTAATTTGTTCAGTATAGATGTCCTATATTGAAAGTGGTAATTGTGAATTACATATAATGAGTCTGTGTTGTTATAACTTTCTCTTTGTTTCATTTTTAGCTCCATGTGGTGGGCATTTTTCATCTCCCAGTGGAGTAATCCTCTCTCCAGGCTGGCCCGGGTACTATAAAGATTCCTTGAATTGTGAGTGGGTGATAGAAGCTGAACCAGGACACTCTATCAAAATTACATTTGAAAGGTCTTGGCTATTATTTTTCTTATTTAATATTTTCCAGTTTTTACCCAGAAGCAGGAGTTTATTAGCTCTGTCACAGCATTAATTTGCACTATGTCTAAAATGAAGCAATTGTATTATCAGGTAGGATTTTCCAAAACACCTTAGTGCCTTCAGAGCATAAATTTTATCTTTAGTGCAATTTCTACTTTGATGCACTGAAAAGCTTTTGAAATTCCTACCCTCTTGCATATATGTAAATCTGTCTGGCCCAGTTAAAAATTTTGTCTAGTGTTTTGGTTTTTTTGACCTTCACATCCTTTCTTTCTGGATTTTCTAAGAGGAAGGGAACAGTTCTTACTAGTACACATTTCCTGCAGAGTGACATCTTAACATTACATCAGTTTATCACTTGCACAGTAGTTTATTTTCTTTTAATCTCCCATCTTCCTATCTTCCTATGGCTTCTGTCTTATGACATTGCATATGTGTGAGGTTCTGCATTCCATGACTGTATGCTAAAGTGTTCCTGTGCCATGGAGCCAGAGACGTAGGAGAAAAGATAGAGATCTACAGACTAAGCGAATAATAACTATTAATTTTTGTGATTTCAGAGGTTTCATAACAACTTTTTCATATTTTGTTTTATGATTGTGCATGTATACTCTAAAGAGTTTACTCCTGTTGTACAGGCACTCCTGTTGTACAGGCATAGCTACGATAGGTAATCTGTTGGATTTTTGTTACAAATCAGTAGCTTTTTAGGCTGAATTGAAATGATAGAAGTGAGAAATGTGAGTGCCATTCTTCTTTGCAATGAAGTGTTTATCGTGAAGCCTAATTATGAGTATTTAAATACTAGGGATGTTAATCAGGAAACTACTGATTGGAGCACTAGTCACATTTGACTAATGAGTATGCACTGTGCAACAGGTTATTCTACTCATAACCTGACACTGCATTGAGTTGATAGGGTGTCTCTTAGAAACAAAGATGAATGTTGTAAATATTAAAAGCAGCTTTATCTGTTCAAATAAGATTAAAAAAGTGTGCGTCACCTCTTGTGTTAAAGTTTGTTTCTCTCCTGTCTGCTTGAATGAATTTTTGTGAGTCCTCCATAAGAATAGACCTCACATAGTAATGAAGCCATCCAGGTTAATTTAAGAATAGTGACTAGTTAAGTGGGAAAGAACATTGGAGTGGTCTTACATGAGCACAAAGTATTTTTTATTCAGTTTCCTGTAAATCCCTACTGTTTTTTCACACCAGGGAATAACCAGGTGATGTATATGTAAATATATCAGATAAGTTGATCGTCAAGAGGAAAGGTATTCAAGAAAAAAATTATATAAGCATCACCCTTATAAATTAAATTTAAATTGATCACTTTTCTGAGCCAAACAACCAAGCAAAGGCATTATACATAATCCCCTCTTCAAATGTCTTTCAGGTCATCCCACTAAAAAACTGTCCTCAATTTCTTTTTTCTTGGGTGCTTACTCATTTTTTTCATCTCCTTATTTTTCTGCTGTTTGTGGTGTTATATGTACTCTTTGAGCAACAAGTACTTATGAGAGGATTTCTGTTATGTCTTTGGAAACTCAGCTTAATTTCATCATGTCTTGACTGGACTGGTAGTTACTTTATGTTTATGAGGTCAATGCCTTCTTACACTTTCTGTCTTAAGTATGTTTTTGATAATGTAACTAAGAAAGCAGAGCAAGACTAAATGATCTGTTTCCAAGATTGCTTCTGTTTTGTTTGGATTAGTGGGAAAAACAAGTACTGGAAAAAGCAAGTTATTGCCTAGTAGCTTTTTAACAACATATCATTGTGAGTTCATGTGGGAACTAGCAAAAAAAGAAATTTTCAATTCTCCTGCTTTTAGGCTTATTATGCTTCATTTCTGTAATTCCTTATTACTTTATTTCTGTGCTCTTTTCTATGTTACTTCATAGGACTGGGACATGGATAAAAGAAAACACATGTTTTGGAGGTTTAATTTGGCTTCTCATCTTTCACCAGACTCCTCTAGATCTTTAGGCTCAGACTCATGGGACATAAATACTGAATTATAGAGCTCTTCAGTACATTGGCATTAGTCATGCAGTTCCTTGAATGGATTTCACAAAGCCGAATTAGGCATCTAAGTGAATCAGAGAGAGAATTAGGAATATCTGAAGGGTCCTTGTAGGATCCTGCTGTTAATTGTTTCTTTTTAATTCTGAAAAGGTTTTTCAATAATCCATCAGAGAATCCGTTAAAGCAGTGTGATTGATGTAAGGTCTGTCATAGCAAGAAAAAGAGAAACCACTGTCAAAATACCAAATAGGTGTTTGGGATTGCTGATACCATCTAAAACAAGACAAGCAAGGAGATATCTAGCAGCACTGTCACGCTCAGCTTTTCCATGACAGAGAGAGCACACATGCTGTCTCTAAACAGGCACTTTGCTTTATAGTGCTTTCTAAATAGGATTTTAATTTTTTTTTTGCCATAACTTCTGCCACCACTTTGAACTGAGCCTCAACTGGCACAAAGCCCCTGGAATCTCAGAGCAGACTTAAGTAATTCTATCCCTGCTTATAGATGATTTTAAGGGTACATGCTCAGAGTATGATTCTTTGATAATATAGTGTCTATATAATATATAGATATATATAGATAATAATATTGATAGATAATATAGTACCTTGATGATATTTTTACCTAATGGAATGGATGTAATAAAAGAATGCATCAACATATCCTCTACATAAGTTACTTAATTTTTCCAAAAAGAAAAATAATTTTGTGTTATAAAATAGTATATGTAAGTAATATTAATCTTTTCTAACTGTTGTGGTTTAACCTGGCACGCACCTAAACACCACAGAGCTGTTTGCTCACTCCCCTCCCCTCCCCAGTGGGATGGGGGAGAGAATCAGGGAAAAAAAAAAAAAAGTAAAATTCGTGGGTTGAGATAAAGA